TTAAGAATGCGAGATTTCGATTACATTTGACATCTCGTAATAATTCCGAAATTTGAGATAAAACTAAGAAAAAACATGTATATATTTTGAAACGGCGCCTATTTGGACTAATGGTAACTTTTTCTACGGTTGGCTGTTTCGCACGTGGTAAAATATACGACAATTTAGGCCGTAAATACTTCGAAATGGTGTTAAGGATGCAATATTTTGACTTCATTTAACATTTCCATAATAATTACAAAATTTGAGGCATAAATAAGGAAAAAGGGGAAGGGGTGGCTTTTGGGTGTGGTTGGGTGAGTGGGTCAAAGGGGGTTGTTGGTGGCTGTCGGAAACAATTAATGCATCAGTGTCATGCCAGCTTTTTTGAATTTCTGTATGACTTCTTGATGAAACTTCTGTACGCGTAGCATTATTCGCAGAGAAGCAGAGAAAACGCCATTTCTGCATAATTGCTAATTCCAGTCCTCACAAATTGTTCAACTAATGTGCAGCTCCATGTGTGGCACTGGGGTGGGTCCACCCAAATTCAATTCAATTAAATGTAGCGAACCCAAGTACAACACACCCTTGTTTGAGCCCATTTTGGAGGCCCAATTAGTTTTGAAATAATATTTTTTGCAAGATTTGTGGTTAAAAATAAGGAAAAAATTTCGATTTACATGTAAAATTATTTTATTGGAGTATTTGTTATTGAAATTAATTTTGAAAAAATGATTTTTTTGTAAAATGGAACTCAAACAAGATAGTATGATGCTTAATATTCACCTTCCATGGGAAGAGTGATTATGTACAATTGGAATTTTAATAATCCCACTTACGGCCACTCATCGTGTCCACATTTAGCCGTGTTTGGATTGACAGAAATTAATTTTTTAGTAAATTTTTAAAAGATGATGAAATATGTGGTTGAAAGGTAAATCGAAATTGTGGGTTGTATTAATTTTTTTGTTGAAAATGAGTTTGGCCAACAGGGACTTAAATTTTTAAGCCAAGTCAGTTTTTTACTTTTGGATGGGATGGTTTGAGAGATCAAATTGAAATTGTTTCAAAACTTAAGGCCCCGTTCTCTTTGCTGTTTTCAGACTGTTTTCGGTTTTCGATTTTCTAAAATACGGAAAACACGTTCTCTTTCTCATTTTTGAAAACGAATTTTTGAAAACAAAAAAAAAATTGTATTGAAAACAGAAAACGTCCAAAACCACGTTTTGGACGTTTTCAGTGTAAAACACGTTACTTGTAGAAAACACGGGAAACGCCCAATTTCAACCTTTCTCTCCCTATTCCTGTTCCCGTTCCCCAACCTTGTTCTTCCTTTGGTTTTCATTTCTCCCCCTAAACCCACATCTCCCAGCCTCTGCAAGCGACATTTTCGATGCCGGTCGACTTCCAAATTCCCGACGCCTCCCAGCTGTTTTGTCTCAGGAACAATTTCAAGAACTGGCTTTGGCTCTTGAACTTTGTGGTCGAACCTTTCTATGGGTTTTTGGATCAAA